AAAAAAAAAAGCTTTGTTTAGGTCCATAAAACATATTGGTTTTATTCCAATTAAATAACTAGTGCTTGTTTGGATATATTGATATATACATATCATTAATAATAATAATTATTATTATTAATTATTATTAATTTCGACTGCAATTCCTGCAGTTCATTTTCTGAGCAATACATCCAATCTGCCACTAGTTGTTTTTAATTCAACAATTCAAATACAAGTGGCAGAAGTTGAGGATTCTACGACTCATTTGAACACTTCACGCTGCAACTTTATCGCGAACAATTTATTTTCTATAACCAAGACAAATTAAACGGCCCTGACTGAACGTCAATCACATGGCTACGCAGGATTAATCCGGAAGAAAAACACAAACAAATTTCCCATTAGTCTCCACCGCAGTCCATTTTTACAACATCGCCGTCAAAATCCACCTCTTCGTGTTGATTAAACCTGACGAAGTGGGTGCGTTGCTCATTATTCTGCGTTGCATCACCACCTGAACAACCTCCCGATGCGTTTCTGCAACTGATGCAACAAAGATCCGTCCTGGTCTTCCTGTGCCACAGGCCACAGCTTCACTTATAATTAGCACAGATGTGATAATTCATGTCCGCCGGCAGAATGAGAACGGAGACACAATGGTGCCGGGTTATTATAAAAAAAAATTTAAAAAAATCACTCCTTTTTATAAAAAAATTGAGGTCACACCAGCACTGTGTCTAATGTAGAATGGGCTACAACATCAACGTCAGTGTGACTGCTGTTTGTAGGATGCATTATCTTAAAGCTCCTGGGAATTCTTAAGTTCATTCACATTAAGGTAAAACATCAAAGGAAAAACCGTGAGATATGGGAAATTCAAGCCTAAAGATAAGGACACTGACTTTTTTTTAATTTTTTTTTTGCGCCTGTTGTTGTTTCTCTCTTGAGACAATATGAAAAGGAAATGAGGAAAACTATCGTCAATATTTTATGCCGAGGTTGGAAAAAGTACTAAAAAAAAAAATGCAATTATTATTATTAGTATCTTTACTTTGCTTAAGTTCTACTCAAGTAAAAGTCGCATCTGAAAATGTACTCGATTACAAGTTACTTTACTTTACTTTGAGTAAAAGTTACTCAGGACGAGTCGCGCATCCGATCGGCCGCTAGTCGTTTTTTAATCAACAATTCAAATACCAGTGGCAGGTTTTGACAGTGACAGCTCTGTCCACCGGGGGGCAGTCACATTTTACATCACACTCTAAAGTTATTGCATCGTTTGCAGGAGCTCTCTGCTTGGCGATCCTCAACCTCCATTTATTGTTTTTCCCGCACCAGCCGTCAACCAATGACAGACTAGAGTCCGCGTCCGTTATCTGGCTACAATAACATAGTCGAAAATTTCTTAGCGCAATTTCCTTTCAGTTAACGCAGATTGTTTTTTTTTCCCCCCTGGATTTACTTTTTTTTTTTTACTCAGTAACAGTTTCTTTTCCAATGTCGCAAAGTAAAATACTTGAGTAAAAATGTACTTAAGTTAACGTCAAATTACCTATTCCCGAAACTACTCAAAAACGACTCAATTAGAGTAACTCGAGTAAATGTAATTCATTGCTTTCCATCTCTGCTTGTGTGCTCATTTTAAAATGCGTTAAAACCATCGACCATCGCAGTGATCGTCGTCATCATTGTCCCCGCTTGTCCAAACTACGTTCCAAACCAAATAAGGACGCCACTTCAGGGAAAATGTAACGTGTTCAAGTGCTTTCGTTCAGCTGCGTCTCCGGCTCCATCGCTCATGCCGTCGCTGCAGAGTACCGACAACCCTCCCTTTGTGTCAATGTGTGTGTGTGTGTGTTTTATCTGCGTTCGTCCCTGCAGCGCCTGTCCCGCCATCAAGCCAGTAAAGTGCAGACGGCTTAGTGTCAGTTTCAGAACATCCTCTGTAAGCAGATTACTTTCGCATTTTTCGGGCAACTGGCAAAAGTCGGCCGTCCAACTTTGGCCAGGGCACGGCGCAAGTGTGAAATCGTCGTAATTTCACCTGAACAAGATCCGGGCCATATGGACATACGGTCCAGTACTGAACTGGTAAAAGTGGGTCGTATACAGTTACAAGATGCACTTTCACCTGGGATTATTCTAAGTCAATTCTCAAATAGTGGGGCGGGGACCCCTGGGGGGGCGCAGTGAGATGCCAGGAGGGGGCGTGAGGGGATTCCAATGGAATATGGCACGCTGGACATAAGTGTACCACTGCTGTAATGATACGATGAACGATAACAAGCCTCCAGCCACTAGGGGGCAGCAAGTCATACGGTGGTTTGTACAGCTAACATTTCTGTCCCCATGACAGAAAATAATTATACAAGGATTTCACTCATTTAAATTCACGCATTTAAAAAACAAACATGTGTTTTATGCTAATGCTAACATTTTATCACTGACCTGTGGATTTATTCACGAAAAATGTTAATTGCTTTACTAATTGGACAACAACAAGAAAACAACTTTGACTCACAAATACCGTGACGGTTAAAGAGAAGATCGGTTACAAAACGCTAGCATTCAGTTGCTAATGTCCTGTCTTAGCCACCGTGTAAAACTAATTCAAGTAAAACTCGCCCCGACGTAACCATTTCTCAAAAGAAAATCTGCCGACAGACACGTTGCTTCTCAAACGGTGGGGCGTGCCCCAGTGAGGTGTGACGGGGGGACGCGAGAGGGGGACTTTCGGTATCTATCCATTTTGATAATCGGTAATGTACGCAGAATGCTAGTGCCAGAAACTCATACAGCGGTTTGTACAGATACATAAAAAAATATTAGCAGGCGCTGAATAGTATTTCAATTTGGCGGTGGGGGGGTGAAAAAACTTGTGTCCCCTAGGGGGGGTGCATGGCAGAAAAGAATTGAAAACCACTGGACTAAGAGCAGCTGCTCACCGTGACGCAGTGACCCCCCCCCCCCCCACCCCCCCCACCACCCCCCCCA